GTGGATACCTGGTGAGATAGAATGTTAGTGAGAAAATCTTTCTGTGGGCTATTGATAGTTATTTTCCCATTTCTTTTATTTCAATTTCATTTTATTATTTTTTATTATTTTCTGTTTTTGAGTTCTTATTCATTAAATCATTCGTTAATTCACTTTGATTAATGTACCGTTTTTTTATAATTATTATGTATTGTTTATGTATTTATAAACTAATTGTAATCTTTTTTTAATTGTCTGCCTTTGGATGGCTATACTGTGATCTTTGTCTATATCTGTGACTTAACTCTCGGATTACATTGGATATCACGATAAAAGGTATTCAAATCACGAAAGTCATCACAGCCAGTTAAATCTCCCTCCTTCCGGACCCAGTCCAAAATGACATGTGGGGTCGTTGGTCTTATTTAATATAACGTAGCATCACACCGTACACCTTGGCACGGTACACCTTGGGACTGTACACCTTGGGACCGTACACCTTGGCACGGTACACCTTGGGACCGTTCAAAATGACCTACGTCGACGTAGTTAATGCGCACTCCACGGGAACTTTCTCTTAATGCTATCGGATTCATAGACTTACACGTCCTGGGCCCCGTAACTCGAAAGCATCGCGCATTGCGACCGATCGCAAGCGTCTCGATTCCATGACTCTCCCATACTCGCTCCATATAATACATTGTAGCCTCTATGTAATATCGCTATTTGCAACAGGCGATGCTTTCGAGTTACGGGGCCCTGGTGTAATCACCGCGCAGCTTCTCCGTACATATACTCTCCCCAACGGCAGGAAAAGGCGTGTTAGTCTGTTAATCTGATTGCATTCAGCGAGAGTCCTCCTGTAGTTACTGCGCATTAGGTAGGTTGACAATTCACTCTCAAAAGTTCCCTTTGATTTGCGGGAAAACAACAACTTACCGGTTGAAAAGAATCGCGAGCCGCCCATGAGGACTACAACCTTGACGTGGCTCATCTTGGCAACTTGCTTCAAGACCATTGCCAGCTCTGCCCCCTGGCGACTGTCCATGGCACCGTTGTAGAAATCAAAGTGGACATAGCACACTGGACCCTGTTGTTTTAACCAAATCTCGCTGTGGCTGGAGACATTGGTCAAATCTGGTAAACTGGCCACAGTACTGGCAGGCAAAACTGAGGTAGCAGGTAACTTGATGGACAACCGCTTGTTCCTCTAATAAAGAAAAGAAACTTTATGCAGGTCACATCAAGAAGGTCGAACTACTTGGTCACATATGTTTTGTAACATCTAATTGACGAAATGAGAGGTCCGTGTATTATGTTTGCTTGGTTCGACTTCCATGTCTGACATTTTATCTGGAACACTTCTTATTTATTTTGGACGAGAAAAGGCAACTCACTCAACAAACAAATCAAACAACATTTTTTTTTTTTTTGGGAAAACAGCGCGTCACTGCGCCTAGAAGTAGTTTGAAAATACAGATTGCTTCTTCATAACACGGAAAATTGATTACCAATTACTGATTAGAAATTGTTGATAAATAATAATTTTAACAATTCATACAGATTTATTCTGAACCCAAGTATCAAATGAGTTGCCAAAAATAGATAAAAAATAATCAATTATTATTGAAATAATATTAATGCTGTATAAATATTTCACTATGAGAGAAATTTTTTATCGTTCTATGGGTTATTCCAAGTAATCTCCACACGCACTTCTGGGGAACTATGGTTTTATTTCAAGGTGTTCATACTAACAAGCAATATTGTAGGCCTATACGCACAAACTTAAATTTTGTAATATCTGGATTAAAGTTTTAAAAGCACGATCTGCCTCGAGAGTGTGCACGTAGGTATCGTATTGTACATAAAGCAGGTGAATGTGAACTTTTTATCACTGCTTCAGTAATTAAATATATCTACAATTAAGTATTTTTCCCTGATTATAGCCCCTCTTACCTTCATGCAGGTTATCCAGACCCCCTGGCGGTCACCGGTTGAAACTAGCACAGCACCCTGTTTTTTACCGACCACACTTCCTGGCGTCCCAGCACCCAACACATCCTGGACATCTTTGTGGAGGCCGCTTTCTTGGAATGCACCAAACACCCTGTAGGTCTCGGCGCGCCTGGTACCGTCCTCAGAAAACGTGAGTGAGGCAATTGCGCCTGGTTGAGTATCAGAACATCGTATTATTCGGCATATTTCTTCGGCGGACATGTCCCAATTTATTTTCCTGTCCGAAGATTTCATGGACGGTAATAAGCAGCCCTTTACGTCAGGGTCGGTGTAATCCAGAGGAGTCGGCGGGATCCCAAGCCGAAATTTCATCAGTCCGTCCACAATGGCATCGGCAGCCACGTCGCTAATCTCGCCACAATACACGCCGGTCTTCGTAGCGTCTGCCTTAAGCGGGAAATTAGCAGTACTCCAAATATCCCCGCCGTCCATCACCTCGCTAGCCTGGAGCAGCGTTCCTCCCCACGACTCCGCCTGCTGTCGTATAGCCCAATCGATGGAACTTGGTCCGCGGTCACCGACAATGCCCGGATGAAAAACCAAACATGGCCGCTCTTCCGATCGCCATATTGTTTCCGGTATATATTTGGTTAGAAACGGGCAGACGATCACGTCGGGTTGAGAATGCTTTACTGCATTTTCCATTGCACTGCCATTGCCACAGGCTGTCACTGTTGTCCCTACCTGGAAAATAAAACCGCTACAGTTGAAGCCACTCTCTCTGTTGCAGAGATGTCAATCTCTGAAATCTCAATTCTGGAGATTCTAAAATTTTGCTCATTTCGGGGGGGGAGGGGGAGTGGTCGCTGCCGTTGTGCTCAGTGGCGGGAGAGAGAAAATTATTACGTTTTCATAACATCATCCAAATATTCTGACAACAAATTGACTTTTAATAGTTTTGCGTGTCATACTTATAAAATATCAATACAAAAACGTAGTTAAAAGATTGCTCTTAAAACGCGAGGTGACTTTAAAAAACCGAAATTGTTTGGATTTGGGTATTTTAGACAGGACGTTAGCTGACATTGGGGCAAATGTTCAAAATCGCTTTTTTTTCGGGAGATTGGGTTACCCGTACTGGAGACCGGGAGATTCGTTCTGTATTCGGGAGACTTCCGGATTATCCGGGAGAGTTGACATGTATGCTCTTCCCTTCAGTTAAGTTTTAAATGAAAGACACTGATGGATCAAGAATCGGTCTATTCCAGAAGAGAGAGAAGGGACAAGTATAACCAAAATAAAACAGAGGAAGACGATAAAGCTACTAGTAAATGTGTGGCTCAGAAATAAGAAAAAAAACGTTTCTTTTTTATTTATTTGCCTCGTCATCATTTTTTTTTGGGGGGGGTGTTCATTAAAGGGGACAGCGTTGCATGACCCTTCTGTTACATCTTACTGTTACATTTGTGCTTTCGGCTATTACGTTAAGTTACGACTACATATGTAGTTCTTTGAACATTGATGAGACACACGTTGTTTCTTTGTCAGCAAAGTCACGTGAAATAAAGATGAGTTTAATGTATCAAGATGTACTTGTCGGCAGGTAACACGCGACGGGGCAATAACTTGTGTAATGTAAATTAATGAGTTAAGACACTAGTTGTAGGCATTATACTGTACTATAGGGGATACATACGGGGAGATAAATAGGATATACGCTGAGAGCCATCAATAGAAGGACATGCAGTTATCGAGTTTGGAAGTTTGAAAGTAACTACAGAAATAAAACATGGAGCAAATCTTTCCAAGTACATTCAGGCTACCTGTCACAGTTGTTTTGGTGGAATTCAGCAAAAAAAAAAGGATTACGGCGGGCAGTTCGGATTTGCGACACCAATGTGCCCGGAGTCGTAATCCTGCAAAAACGGAAAACGGTAGTTCGTTCTCTATTTTCGTGCACTTGCTATGTACAAGTGCAGAGGTGACATAGTGTGAGACCATAATAACATTTTATTCGTCGTAAGTTTTTTGTTTATTATTATTATTATTATTATTATTATTATTATTATTATTATTATATATAGATTTTTTTAGATATAATATTAAAATATACATCCGGTCTAGATCCCAACAATTCAGGTAGCACGCCTTGAATGTCATGTAAATGGTTAAAAATTTGAACTTTTCTCTGTAAAAAATGCAAAGATAGAATTTTAAAAAAGGCAATATAAAATAAAGACATACACGTTAACTTATTCCATCGCGTTTCTTTTCCCTAATTAGCATACACTGAAAATCACATGGCATCAATTTTAAAACAGTTGCGCTTTTATGCAACCCAAAATTATTGCATAACTGTGCTTATGTAAGCTGAAATTGAGCGGCGGCCATTTTGACTTATGTAAAGTGCAATTTTGGAGGCCCAAAATTCTGGCATGCCATTGGTGATACGTAGAGCCGTCTTCTCACATTTACTCTTTCACCCCACCCCCACCCTCACCCCCACCCCACCCCCACCCTCACCCCCACCCTCTCCCCGGTCTCCAAATTTAAAACTGATAAACGCACGCGGATATGTCCCACTACTGGTACATGTGTTTGTGTTAGCGCGAGCAATAAACAGGCTATGCATGCCAAACACTGAGCAACCCGACCCCCCTCACCAAGAACCCTCCCCCCCCCCCTTCTCCCGGTTTAACGTTTTGAAGAAAATCACAGTACCTATACAGGTAAGTGCCTTCAGCATTCACTTTTAACTAGTCCTATTTTCATTGAAAAACCTGTTTAAGAGAATGTGATGAAGCGCCTGCAAAAAACGAAAGCTGAATTCTTTAAGAGCAGATAACATATTTAAACGAATGCATTCTACGTACCTTTAACTGTTTTAGCGTCAGGTTGATTCTTTTGGTCAAGTTGTTGATGGCGTCAGAGATAATCAATACCTTCAGACCCTCCAAAATAGCGGGACTCTGTACTAGCTGGCGCGGCTTCGGTAATATCGCAGACATGCTTCTGTAGAACTTCACACACTAGCTGTTGAAAGTGCTACAACTGTATATAACAGCTATACCCATACGTGTAGAAAATGCTTCGTATTAAACGTCTATGGCTTGGCCAAAGTCACGTATTAATGCAAGTTCCGTCCTGTCATTCCCAATGGACAACACCGCTGTGCAGAGCTACTGGTACATTGTAAATTTTCCTCTTTATATACATATACCTGTTTCATAAGAGACAACCAGGAAATGACTAGCGACACCTGTGGTCAGCTGAGATTACATACAGTGTACGGTGCCCATCACGTGTTAAAGCACGCCACTTTCTCTCTTTGCAATGTTAATGATCCTCCTTGTCCTCCTTATATACATATACCTGTTTCGTAAGAGACAACCAGGAAATGACTAGCGACCCCTGTGGTCAGGTAAGAGTTCTTACAATGTGCAGTCTGTTTTGGACGCTCGTCGAAGCTTAATTATGGACGCAACCGCATTATCTCTTTTATTGTTTAGTAGTAAGAACTATGCCTGGGGTAACGTGTCCCACGGCTACAATAACAACAAGCGAGATCCAACACTTGGGACTTAAAAAACGCAAGAATATTTTGGTTAACTTGTATCTGTTAGTTTTTTACTTTTATATTACTTTTTAGTTTATCTATGTAGTATTAGTTTTTATATTCATTTGAACACGCTGAGACGCATGTGAAGTGCTAATTTAAGAAATACATTATTAGTACTGTTATTAATATTAATAAGTTCCCAACGGAGCCGTTAGAATGAAAAATATAAGTAGACAACATCGGTAGAGCCGAAAGTTAAGCAGGTTTGGGCTAAGAACAGGACACCTCGTTTTCGCCAATTTCTAAGGTGGAAAGAAATCCTATAATATTACAAGACCAACATTATTTCAATGAAAACCAGAAAATGTTATTTAACCAGAGTGACTTTGGAAAGACAACGGTTGCACATCAGTGAAAATGAAATGTCTAAAAATGCAAAAAGAGACGCCGTATAGGTCACAATGGCCATTCCTACTGTACGCCGCATTCAGACTATATAACGAAATGCTTAAGTCTGTGAAAAAAATGGGATTATTTATGAAATGTAGGACACAGTTCACAAAGAATTCAAAACGAAATTTCAGAGAAATTAAAGAATGTAAAGTAATATCGGGCCAATTTGCAACAGGTAAAAAAGAATGCAGGGGGAAAAGATATGCGGAAAGAACATTATAAAGATCAGAAGAAAGAGGTTGAAAAAGATAAAAAGAAAACACTATTATCAAGAAGTTATGGAAAAAGAAACCAAAATCTATAAAGCTTTACACAGTTTTTGCTACTTACAAAGATTTTAATGAAGAACTTTCATGACTTCTTGTATTCAGGTACTAGTATTTGTACTTTTGGGATTCAAATCACCAAGACAGCGACACACGAAGAGGAAAATACACCCGGCTCAGAATTCATGATCAACGTTTTATCGGTTAAATAAAAAATATAATTTATATCTGAACTAAAAGGCAACTGAACTGGACACGATATGGGTCATTTGGTGTTATCTAGTTAATACACAAAAACCTTAGGCTGTATTCCCAGAGCTTTTAGATCGATCTATCCCCGCGGGGAGTCTCACTAGATTACTGTCAGATGATCCGGCTTAAATGTCCGTCCCGCCTACTACAAGCTGTAAGGGGGTAATTAGCTTTCGTGTCCGCCCGGCTGACAGCTATTTAGCGTGAACCCCCAGGGAGTTAGGTCGATCTAAAGTAGATCGATCTAATCTCTGGAAATGGGGTCTTATTGTCTGATTAAGGGGACAATGTACCCAAATATGGCTAAAAATCGTCATTTTGGGTTTATTATGTCTAATTATTGATTAAATGTGTATCTAACATTTAACAGAATAAGATTTTTACATTCTGAACAAGAAATATGTTTTTTCTGAGGATTTTGAAGCTGCACACATCGGCACCGGTGGCCTGGTCTGTGCCCCGCCTTCGTTATCAAGGGCAGTTGGTATGGGAAAACTCGGTGGGCGGACCTTAGCAGCATCAGCACGACTAGAGAAACAATAGAACAGGGATGCGCCATACCCCCTTTGTCATACACCCCATTTCCATAGATTAGATCGACCTTCTTTAGATCGACCTAACTCCCTGGGGGTTCACGCTAAATAGCTGTCAGCCGGGCGGACACGAAAGTTAATTGCCCTCTTACAGCTTGTAGTAGGCGGGACGGACATTTAAGTCGGATTATCTGAAAGTAATCTAGTGAGACTCCCCGCGGGGATAGATCGATCTAAAATCTATGGGAATAGAGCCATAAACAGCGATCGGCAAAGCATTGCCGATTGTTGCGCTTAAGCTGTTTTGATAGTCGGTCTTGATTGTGATCAGCGCTAAGGAGAATCTTTTCCGACACATTGGATTTGCTTGAAATACGCGTTCTCCCTTGAACTACTTGTTGTTACACGCGCTCTGTCGATTTACGCAAAAAAAAAACATTTCGTTGCTTGCTACCTGTGACAGCAACCGTCATACTATCGATCCATCTTCGACAACAGCACTATGCAGCGGCAGATTTTATAAATCTATTGCAACTTGGGCAATTTGGCCTGGCATCGAGGCGCATGTTAAAATAATTTAAACATGACAACTAGTAATTACTAGCCTCTAGCCCTCTCTTAATTATTCCTGCTTACCAATGATCATTGGAAAATTTTTACAATGATAATATCTAACCTTTCCAACTGAAACGCAGTTAACGCAAGTGTCAAGATGACATCAAGCTCTAGTCTTGCTAGCATACCATACTAATTTCGGCTTATCTGCAATTATCAGGTAAGGCATCATTAAAAGTTAACGATCTGATAATATCTCCCAGTTCCATCTCACGTCCAGTCCACTCTACCCTTAAGCTTGGTTCCAGATTCCGGTATTGCCAGCTCGATCTTGATTTCATATATAACCCATATCAGCAATACAGCGACTCCATCACAAGGTATATTTAACAATCTAGCTTTTACGCTGCTCTGACACTCAGGGTAGTCCATTCTTGAAAGTGTGCTATATAAATAGCAGCACGTGCAATTGTAACTCATAAGTCTATAACGTCGGTAGGCATACATCGTTGTCGAGATGGGTAAAAGAAAGAGAAAATCAAGAACTACATTTCCTGAAGAACGTAAGAGAATATTAAGAGAAAGTCAAAGAGGTGGATGGGGAAGGCCAAAGTATGCGGAGGACGAGCATGAGACCAAAAGGTGCAAGTGCTAGGAAACTGAAAGCAGACATCGTGTTCGTGAGCGACGACGAAGAAATTGTTACACTTGAGCAGGAGGGATAGCGCATTTGGCACTGCAACCAGTTGCAAAAAAGCGCCAGTGCCACCTGTGCTTGCCGCACTTGTGGGGGTGAGGTAAGACCTAAGATCTAATAAACGGAAAGATTGGACAGCGGCATTTTCCTTTTGACCAGACGTTCGTACGGGTAAACATTGCTCTATTGTTCCCCTTAAGTTGTTTTGATAGCCGGGCTTAATTTTAATCCCCATTGTACCTAACCCGTGTTTAGCGAATAGCGTGATTTCTCGTGCATTCTCGAGGACGCCACATCGTCGTCAAGTAGATCCGCCATATTGGATTAGCACTGGCACACGTGGAGTTTTTTTATTAAAAAGTGCTAAAGATGTACAGTTTGTTTACATTTCGTAGTTGTCTTAATACTTTATATTCAGAAGAGGCAATACCCAATAGCGTACTTCCTGTAACAACAGCTGCCATTTTATAGAAATTGACTCAATGTGGAGATAAAGCCGGAAACGTGACGAGATCATCAACGTAACTGATAGTGATATTCGATGCTGTTTTGGACAATAAGGCCATGCTAACCTACTGGGAGAAACTGAATGGTGAAGCTACACCAAAACAGAAACTTGATCTATTATGCATGTTTTTAAAACTTTATCACTATCAGCGGTCATTCTTTTAGAGCATAATTAATTGAAATTTACCAGAATATTCGTAGCAAATCAGTGAAACAAAAAGGACTGAAAGAATCCATTAAGAAAAAGTAGTTTTTAATTTCACTTTCACAAACACTTATTTGGGTACCTACTTCATAATAATAGTGAAAGGTAAGACATATCTTTATATTGACAATCAAATAAAAGTAAACCCGTTTTTTCATATTTATAAAGAACACATGCAATATAATTTTCATTGCGACTTCAAAATCATGCACATATTTTTAAACTCTGCAAAATCAGTTTTGAAACATCAGTCTTTTGAACATCTTCCACAGAATGTATTGGAAGAATAATATGTGTAACAATTTTGTTTGCCATCTCACTAAAAAATGACTAAATAAAAGATGATTGCTAAAAATTATCAATATTTCATCAGATTCGGCATTTAAAACTGATCATTCATTTCTGGCTGTTAAAGTAACATAATACAAGTCATATTCTGTTCATAAGCATTTTATTATAGATTTAATAAGGCACAGAAATTGAAATGCAAATAAAAATGTTAACACCTTTAGATACCACTGACTGTGACACAATCACAACAGATAGGTAATTTATTTAGGAGTACTACAGTAGNCGAACCTTTAATGAAGAGTTTGAATATGGTGCACATAGTATACAGGACTTAGCCAAGGTGAACATATTTAAACGTTGTAAGTAAGCGGACATGTACTGATCTGTATGTGAGCTTCATTTACAAAATTTACGATCTCTCTCTCTCTCTTTTGCTGATTACGCCTACCTATCTATAAACTATTAAAATGCGGAATGAAACATGTGCATAGTAGATCAGAGGGACCCCTCAGGTTGCAAAGCCCTTGCATTGCCTGATTAATAACACAAGCGACATTTAAGCTCTAATTCCAATAAAGGATTTGTGGAGTTAAAATGAAAAAGGGGCCAATGCAAATGGTGGTAAAGTATAAATTTTTGAAATGTGCCGCTCACCTTACGGTTGTGTTACAAGCCTTCTGACACACCGCAATGGATGACTAAGTGTTAATGGGTTACGGTAATGTCACATTACCTTTATCATTAAAAATATATTGTGAGATTACCCATACCTACGTTACAGCTAAACTAAGATCTAATAAACGGAAAGATTGGACAGCGGCATTTTCCTTTTGACCAGACGTTCGTACGGGTAAACATTGCTCTATTGTTCCCCTTAAGTTGTTTTGATAGCCGGGCTTGATTTTAATCCCCATTGTACCTAACCCGTGTTTAGCGAATAGCGTGATTTCTCGTGCATTCTCGAGGACGCCACATCGTCGTCAAGTAGATCCGCCATATTGGATTAGCACTGGCACACGTGGAGTTTTTTTATTAAAAAGTGCTAAAGATGTACAGTTTGTTCACATTTCGTAGTTGTCTTAATACTTTATATTCAGAAGAGGCAATACCCAATACCGCACTACCTGTAACAACAGCTGCCATTTTATAGAAATTGACTCAACGTGGAGATATAGCCGGAAACGTGACGAGATCATCAACGTAACTGATAGTGAT